AGGCATACGGCTAGCAATACCACCCCAGAAAACCAATACAACCCCAAAAGAAAATTCAAAGCACAAACAAAATATAGAAAATAATAACAAACTTATTCCGTACTGGAATTGGAAAGACGAAATGACACCAGTCGGTGAAAGCCTGCCTTCGGGAAGCCAGTCTACCGATATGTCTTCGCCTTCCTCGATGAAAAAGAAAGTAAACATAGCGACATGGAATGTCCGCACCATGTTTCAACCTACCAAGACAGCCCAGATTGCAAAGTAGATGAGAAGCTATAGCATTGAAGTGCTACGTTGCGAATCTGCGAAAGCACGTCGAATGGAAATGGACTCTCCAAACCGTCAACTGCAAAGTCAACAATCTAAACCGGCATTATCACCCAGACGACAACCACAACCACACTGAATTTTCGAGTGGCTATCATAATGTCCCCAACAGCATCAAAGGCTCTCTCTCATGCAGTGGAAACCAATCGCCTCCACGATCATAACAGCAAGGTTCAACTCAAAAGAAAGGAAAGTCACAATCATACAGTTATACGCTACGCACCTACAAACGATCCAAATCAAGGGAATAAGGATGCATTCTACAGACAACTACAATCAGCACTCAACAAGACACCAGTTGGCGACATCAAAATTCATTCTAATGGCTGGGGTGACATGAATGCCAAACTCGGAGCAGACAACACACGAACACAACTAATCATGGGTCGAAAAGCACTCGGTGAGGTGATGAACGAGAATGGAGAATGGTTTGCCGAATTCTGTGCATTCAACGATTTGGTGATTGGAAGCACTGTGTTCAAGCACAAGGATTTCCACAAAGCGGCATGGACTTCACCAGATAGACACATCCAAAATCAGATCGACTTCATCTCAATCTCAAGAAAGTGGAGATGCAGCCCACTGGACACTAGGTCAAGGAGGGGGGCAGATGTAGGCTCAGACCACTCACCATCTAGTGCAAGGAGCCTACATTCAAAATCAAGTTGAAAACATTCAAGGAAGTTGGTGATAGACCACAGCTCATGTTCAACACCCAGAAACTGAAGCGCGAAACAACAAGGAACATCTTCACGCCAGCCATCAAGGCACAATGGGAGACGTCGACCAGCATCCCGGAAGAAACTTGTGTGGATCAACACTGGAACTCTTTGAAAGCTAGGAGGGAAGAAACATGCATAACAGTATTAGGAAGGAAGAAGAAAGAAGATAAGGAATGGATCTCGACGGACACATGGAAGCTGATAGAGGAGGGAGAGGAGGATGGTGAAGCAGAAGATAAACCAGTGCATGGATGCTCAACGACAAGAGGAACTGAGCACAATGTATAAAACACTACACTGAACAAAGAAGTCAAGAAGAGTGCACGCAAAGACAAAAGACACTTCTATGAAACACTGGCAAGTGAAGCAGAACAGGCTGCAAGTAGGAAAGACGTAGACTTGACAACATTATATCAAATAACCCGACACCTTCTGAGAGGATATCAACACAGATGAAACCAATAAAAGATGATGAAGAAAATGTAATTACCAAAGATGAGGAACAAAGGAAACGATGGGCTGACCACTTCAGAAACCTCTTGAATCGGCCACCACCACCTGCACTTCGTCCAGAAATACCACCTCCAGACACACAACTACAAGTGAACACAAATCCTCCAACAGAAGTTGAAGTCCTGAATGCCACGAAGTTGCTGAAATGCGGGAAAGCAGAAGGACCACATGGAATCCCACCAGAAGCACTGAGAACAGACCCAGCGACAACAGCGGACATGCTTACACCATTATTGCAGAAGGTCTGGAAGGAAGGAAAAGTACCTGCCGATTGGAAGAAAGGCTACCTTGTCAAACTCCCGAAGAAGGGTGACCTCAGTGTTTGCAAGAATCGGCGCAGAATCATGCCCCACTCCAGTCCACCCACAGCAAGCAAAATATTAAGCCGCATCATCCCAGAAGAGACTGGAGGATGCGCTGGATTCAAAACTACGACCAGAACAAGCTGGATTCGGGAAACACAAATCATGTGCGCACTAAACTGCTACGCTACACTACGCATCATCACAGAACACAGTATAGAATGGCAGTCAACTCTACACCTCAACTTCATCGACTCTGAAAAGGCCTTCAACAGCACTGACCGACAAGTAATTTCACAGGCAGTTGCTGCCTCAACACTTCGAAATACCACAAACCTCTATCAATCTCATTCAACAACAGCTATATGAAGACGCCACATGTCAAGTAATTCACAATGGAAAGCTCAGTGATGCCTTCGAAGTGAAGACAGGAAGGAGTAAAACAAGGCTGTCTACTATCACCCATCATATTCCTGATTGTAGTGGACGGCATCATGCAACAAACAGTGAGGAGAGAGAAGAGAAGGATACGCTGGCTTGACCGATGAAAAGATACTAGAAGATTTAGATTTCGACAACGATGACTTGTGTCTAATGTCACACAGACTCGGAGATCTACAGGCAAAACTAACTGGTTGACAGAAGAGGTAGGGCAGTGAAGGAAGATGGGACTTCAGGTGAACGTAGAGAAGACAAGGGTGATGAAGATACTCAACCAACAACAACAACAACAAACACCAATCACCATCAATGGGAAGAACTTAAAGGAAGTAGCCTCTTTCACTTTTTTAGGCAGCACTGTCTCAACTACAGACGCCACAGGCACAGACGAGGACGTCAAAGCAGTCAGGATCCGAAAAGCAAGACAGGCGTTCATTAGCCTGAAATCAGTATGGAGATCTTCTGCACTCACCATGTGGAACAACATCCAGATTTTCAACACCAACGTCAAGTCACTGCTTCTGTATGGCTCACAGACTTGGCGCGTTATGAAGGACATTTCCAACAAACTACAGACATTCATCAACAACTACTCAAGCTGACTCATTACTGAAGATCAGATCAGATGGCCAGAATAATAAGAATAAGCAACAAGGAACTCTGGCCTGGCAACGAACTAACCAAGGGCCTGTCGCTCAGCAAATATGCAGAAGGAAGTGAAGAAGGACTGGATTGGGCATGCGTTGGGAAGACCATTCGGGGACATCACGCGCCATACCAGATCATCCAGTGGAACCCAGATGGGAAACGACGAGTTGGGCGTTCCAGCTGAGGGTGACATGGAGGAGATCGTGTGAGGAAGAAATGAGAGCTTGTGAGCTGTCGTGGATCCAGGTCCAGAGGATTGCAGAGAACAGAAAGGAATGGGGACGTGCTACTGAAGGCGTATGTTCCACTAGGAACCCAAGGGACAAATAACGATGATAAGATATAAAATCTGCAGAAATGCTCGGCTATAGGCTTGCACGTCTTTGTACGCAGTCACACAAAATTTTGAAACATATAGTGTTGAAAACTGACTTATTTGGGTGAAGGGAAGGATTGATAACCGAATCCTAGTTCATTGAATCAACAACTAATACATGTAATAGAACTGATTCTGCTCATGTTCCGGTTACATGGAAAGTTGTACTCCCCTGGGTATTGAGGAAAGTGAGATTAGAACCAAATGTGTCATATCTGAATGTTGTGGAGTTACTTGATATAAATATAGATAATAAATTAAGTCCCAAACGTTATCCAGTGAATAACACTTTGACTGTGTGACAATTCTTATAAACAGACGAAAATGGAATATCAATCTACCGCACTGCCCAAGTTTTACACCTATATACGTTAAACAAACTTGTTAGGCTGACATATTGTTAGGAACTAGCACCTTTTTTCCAAAAAACACCGCCTAAAATAATCCACAAGACAATTATACACTACCATGTCGTCTGTAAATTTCCACATCTCTGCAAAATTTACTACTAAGTCCAACAAATCTGTAATCCGGATGATCGACCATCAATGCTAATGTAGATTTGCCCTAAAAAACATTCTTTTTGGTCTTGTATATTACCATTTGGATTACCAAATTGACATGTTCATTTTCAGTCGCTTTTATTTTTTTCTTAACTGATCGACGCTTAGCCAAAGAACCACGATTGAAATCGTTTTATTGTTAGACTGTTCAGTTTTAAGTCAATGAATGCTGTCAAATTAGCCTAATTCAGAACTGTATCACGGTAACAGTTTGGTTAACTGCCGATTGTACTGTTAGCACCGTGTTTAATCATTTACTGTTAACATTTTAGCTACGACTTTTTCATTTTGTTTATTTTGAACCTCAGCATTCAGAAAAGTATTATAACCTGAGACACTAAAAATTTACTAGTACATTCATAAAAACACCTTAAAGAACCACAAAGTTCCAACGAGGTGGGTAATGTTTTTCACAAAAACAAGTAACCCCTGGTAATCTAGTTGGCTGTAAATTCGATCATTAGAGCCCGTACCAGTATATCCTAATTCAAGCATTATATACACTTAATTGTATATGAAGCTCCTCAAAAAGATAAACGATGGAAGACCTTTACAGGTGCATAGAATAATGACAGGATTATTTAACCAATGCCTCAGTATAAGAACACAACAGTATTTCAACAACTTTTGACTATTTTCCTATTGTTACTCGCCCCATTGCACATCTGTTAGTATACCTTACTGCATATATAATCAACTTTCTAATGGCATTATCACTTAGCTTAACATGCAAAACGCTATACGCTTCTTTATTAAGAAAGCGCAGTTTTCTCATGAAGTAATAATTCAATTACTGAATGCCTAGCCCCTACACATCACACTGAGCAGCCAGTCTTTATTAACTAGCTAGTATGTTTCCGTCGGTATGGAATGTCCACAAGGAACTATGGGTTACTAACCTAAGATTCTTACCTCATTTGAAACGTCAGAGTTCATTGTTTGGTTCTGAAACAGTACCATATCCTACAATATTCCCTTTGAATGGGTAATGTTTTTTGAATAACAACTCTTTTAAGTTCAAACAAAAATCACAAACAACTGTCAGGTCTAAATGTAAAAATGAATAACGTTTACTATTCAATTTTAGCTCCCAATGTTCTCTTACCCTCTGTAGCTATTTTTCCTTTTCTTTTGTTCTCCTTTGAACGACTTGAACAGCGAGGAATCAGCCAAAGGAGGGATTTTGAATAGTTATGTTCTGATTTAACGCGTTCAAATTTAGATGAAGGTTCCTGAATTACATCAGTATCAACAACGTTCTGGTTAGATTTTTGATGTTCACACTTTTTCCGACTGGATAGTCCTGAAAAACTACGTCTCAGTTTCGGTGATATATGACGTAAAAACTCTTTAAAAATTCTACTACCTGTACTGCTTGGCCTATTCTGAGGTTTAGTTTTGCTAGCACCTGCTAACGTTGAATCAACACGTGACAAATGACTTCTATATCTTGAGTCTGTAATCTTTGGACTTGTTGAAGATGTTGAACTTGTCTGAAGAACAGTGGTTTTATTTATCAGCGAACTGGTAGAAGCTGGGTTAGAAACGGGTGTTGATGTTTTTTGAGCTAAATACTGGTCTAAGTCAACCTTAGAAAGATTTGATTCAGAGCATGGATCGATCGATGACATCAAACCTAAAAAAACAGAAAGACGTTTATAGTTAGTCATTCCATTTCGCAGGAAGGCTGGATATACAAAATCAGAAAACGATAAAAATGTATAAAACCTTTTACCAGTAGTTCAATAAAAATTACACTTGGTGAAAATATACCATTGAGGAAACTTACTAAACTGACATATCAGTAGAACAAGATTGATACAAAGATTCCAACAGAAATGATTTGGACAAAAAATACTTTGAACAACTCTCGAAAGTTATAAGTATATGAACGTTACTTTATAATTGCCATTGTTAGGGTATTTCATTGAAATACGAGATATTATGAAATCGAATCCAACGAAGTTATTAAAAACATGGAATAATATTTATGTAAGCTTCCCTCTTATGGTTGAACTAAACGAAAAGAGACTCAGATTTGCAAGGAATGATACTTCATTCATTGTTTATGACAAGAATATCTTCTTCAAACATAGGGTAGAAGCCACATTTTTATCAACTTCACTATAAAAGCAGAATCGAAACCACAATTTCACTTTGGCCCCAAGTAAAGTACCATGACTAAGCTGAGTAATTTAACTACAGAAAGCAAAAATAAAACGAATAATTGACTGGTGTTCAGAGCTGTCTACCTACAAATGGGTGGGAGTATCTTGTTCTTAGACTTTCCTCGTGGAGGGGAGATATGTACCTTGTACACAACGAAGAAATAGACAGTTTTCAAATAGTTCTGACGGAAAGCGTTTTCCGACAAAAACTAGTAAACATAAACCTGAATGCGAAAGACTTGATGGAATGCAGTTATCTAAAGAATTCTGTGCAGCTAAAAAATGACTCTAGGGATGAACATGCGACCAAAAATCTCTGAAAACCAACTTTAGAAATACTAAGCGGTCTAATGTACTCTCTTGTATTCAACCCCACGCAACTAATTTGTCACAAATCAACGTGTGTATTCTAGTTTTATACCTCGTACAGAACTATGTACAAGAATTACATAATGCACAAGTCTGCACAACTTGCTCGTGAACACCATTCGGCTTATCTGGTAAACATCTGATTAAAATTAATTTTTATCTACGTAAAATAACAGTTCCTGAATGAATAAAACATCACTTTCGTTGATGGTTCCTTAATCATACACAAAGTCCTTAATGTTTGAGACAACAGCTGGGAAATCTAAATTAAGGAGACCAGATATCTCCCAACCGTTCATCATAAAGACAATCAAACTGATACTATATGCATAAAAGACATTAAAGCAATTTCAGTTTTGCTGTGACTTCATCAAGAGTTGGTCATAGTTTAAGTTTATTGTTTACTTTTCCTAACTTAAATTCTTATTTTTAGTAATTAGCTTCTCTTCCTACGAAACATTGTATCATCTTACGACAGACTACTTATGAATATCCTACCCATACCACTACAGGTCTATGTTTTTGCAGAATGAGTCAGTTATAAGAAACATTTTAATGGCTTTAATTTTCTCCTTCCTTTTCTCGATACCATAATTCGATCATTATATTTCAGGATCTTTCATCAACTGCGGACATCCTAAGTCACAATGTTTATCAAGATAATAAAACAAGCTTCATCAGTTAAAGATGGCATGAGTACAGCTGGGAAATTGTGGAAGGCTAGCAAATCACCGTTTTAATAACTTGTGGTTTCAGAATAGTCGTACTTGATGAGAAGCTCTTTTGTTTGGGTAGTGCACTGTGTTTTTTGGACCTTGTTGTTTTACGCTTTTATACTAACCATTCAGAAACCTTTATAATGCAATCAATATAAGACTATTTGAGTGAAAGGCTATGTACTTATGCGTTTGTAAACAATACAGTACGAGCTGATACTGTTTTAACGACCTCAGTTATATTTATTTGTGAAACAGAAGTCAAGCAAAATAATAACAAATAGAAAAACACAATATGTAGATTTAAGAGGCAGGCAATGATTTACAGTAGTTGTAGCGATAATTGTGGAGAATAATGTGTGAAATAAACAAATACTGTATAACATGATTCTTCCATGGGAATCAAGAGAAAAATAAATGAGATACGACCAAATAATCATTCTGTGTGGGTTGACATAGTAATTGAACATACTTCTTATGAGTAGATTGTTTCTGATTTTTTAGCATTGATTTCCATGATTAAGGTTGTGGATTAGAGATATAACAATATTTCCTCTGATGAATTACTTTGAACTAAATGTTTAGCATGAAAGACTAAATCAATCATTGCAAAACGTTCACTCTTTACTAGATAAGGAAAAATAATGGCTACGTTTGCAGAAATAGATATTTCTTTTCTAAAAACTAAGTTGATACATACTCAAATGCGGGCACTTCATCTAAATCTATAACGGTAAATAAAAATCTCTATAGACATTGATCGTCAGTAACTTAACTTTTTTTTAAATATTGTTTATTCCAAACGTCAGCGTATATTTCGACTGCAATTCATATCATTCCATTGACTGTGCTTAGCCGACATGTAAGGATAAATTATATTTAGTGTATAGTGGCAAGATAATATATTTGGATGAGATGCTTTTCATTACCTCTAGACTTTGATAGGTATATGCTTACAAAACTATTGAATACCAGTTTTGTAACAAAGTCCCAGTTAGTTTCGCTTTCTTCATTCCTCAGCAGAGTTGTCAGAATATGCCAATTCCGCTTTATCAATAAAACATTCAACTAAACTTTTTTTATGCTGGACAAGAATGAAGCTTTGTCTTCGTACCTAAATAGTACTTCTGAATGAATTTTGCCGAGCATATTTATTGGTTTGACTGATATAGACATGAAGCTCGGATACTCAGACAAAAAAATCATATTGGTTTGTTTATTAGATGGATCACATTTTATACATATTTTATCTTAATTCTTCTGTAGCTAAGGTAGTGAAAATTTCAGAGTATATATATAGTGTGCTGAGTTTTCCCTGTCGTGAAGCTAAACCTAAACCGAAGAAACGTATTTGGAAGTGAAGTTACCTTAGTATACAATTACTTTCAAAACACTATCCAGTAAATGATATTACTTCATTGTGAGATACATCCAACAAATAAGCTCACATTATATCTGTGCATCACTTTGGTAAACAAAACACCTAAAAATGACACGCTACTTTCATACTGACCTTTGCGGATTATTAAATTAGCTGGATGAAGAGAAAAGGAGATATTCAGAAGCTCTGCCTCACTTTTCCATTGCAAACAGTGGAAATGTTCAGTTGTCAACCAGTAACGAGATATATTAGAAGAATAAAAAGTGAGTGAATACTGCAGTTGTTCCGAAGTATTTCCATAGTATCTTATGTTGTCTATGCTTACACATCTATATAAAACATACATTTTCTGAGGAACCGCCTGAACTGATCATAACTATCAACAGTGTCGACAAAAATATCGACAAAGTAATTAGGATTCATCCGGAATCAACAAGAATTATAACTGTGCGGTAAAATAATGTTTAAGATAATTTTCAGTTTATAGAAATATAAGTACACTTGGTCAAACTCTTGTCATATATACAAGCCGGAAAGGTTGAAATGATGTTTTTAGAAATGATTTGTATTATCAAGCTGCATGTATTTAGTCACAACTAGTTTAACTTTATTCGGTACTTATTTCTCGTTTGCACAACTGTTACTTGTGAAACACGTTTATTTCTATAATCAATAATCATCAACGTCAGACATGAAATTACTGCACAATTGTCCAATTTGTGACACTTTCTCTAGGCATGTAAAGCCAGATTGAAGCGAAATGAAAGACAAACAAATGAGGAAGAAAGCAGTCAAAAGTAATTGAAAGTCATGAAAAGTAGAAACGAAACAACAACAAAACCCGGAATGACTATCAAGACGAAGATCATGTTTGAATATATATGCGCTACTTAGATGAATTCTAAGCCATGTCATTTAGAGTTTCCAACCACCAACATTAGCTGTCATGCAGACCGCGACCAGGATGCGTGTGTTTCCCAACATGGATCAGACCAATAGTCAAAGACTTCACAGACTGATGTTATATTTTTGTATGACTACCTGTAAACTTTCTTTATCCTGAACCCACTTCAGGTTTCATTTTGAGACAAGTCAAACCGTGACCAGGCATGTTTATCACATCTTCCAGCCACTTCAGTCAATGCTACTTCACAAACTTATCTTAAAATACTACACTTGACTTCTACTTTACTCACATAGAGACATTACAATACACAGCCTATGCTAGGAAGACACTTAGAGTCTCTTCATGTCCTCTACTTTTATTGATCATGCTTCATAGTCATACAGTGGAGCAGAGCGAACTTCAGTGCATAATATTTGGCTTTGTTTATACAAACGGATATCATGGTGGTGCCATTAAATGGTATACGTTGGCGAAGGTCAAGCTAACCTTTTTCATCCGTGCAGAGATTTCATCAGTTACTGACACCAGGACTGATCTGACTTCTCAAATACTTGAAGCAGTCAAAGTCCTGTACCACTTTACCACCATTTATCCCCACTTTTATTAAAATATTACAGAACTAACTCATGAAGTAACATCTTTAAAGTTTTTATGTACTTGATAAAAAAACCGAACGCATGAACTAATTGTGCAGTAGTTGACATTTAAAGTTGCCAACAACTAAATGAGACGGAGAATTTTGAAAACTATTGCTAACGATGATCAATTATTTTCATCATTTTGACTACCTCAGATAGCTGTGGTTTGGCAGACTAGTATTTATACTAGGTGGTGGTTGAAGGTGGAATAAAAATTTGGATTGCAACCGGGTTCAAACCAGCGACCATCGGGTTTCCGGTCCAATGCTTTGATACTCTGACTTTGTATTTCAGTTGATAGAGCATCAATTCGGAAACCCACTAGTTTGAATCTGGCAGCGGTCCAAATTTTTATTTCACCTTCATACGATACATACATACAATAAAAAGTTTAATCAGCATCTGTTGAGTCATATGAGTGATAGTATTTATTAAAGTTGGAAGGGTTGACCAGTTG